CTGTATATATATATGTATATATTATATGTATATACTGTATATTATATTTCTCATCCAACCATAATTAAATTCACTGGCACAGTTTATCAGGATAATATATATTTTTAACAACAAGACGCCCTAATGAAATAGGAGTAAGGACTTTCTACTTCTTAACTTTTTTAAAAATGTAATGAGTAGAAAGTACAGATAATTGTGTAAAAATGTAAGGAGTAGAAGTAAAAAGTAGGCTGAACAATAATTACTCAAGAAAAGTACAGACAGCCAAAATTTCTACTTAAGTACACTAACAAAGTATTTGTATTTAGTTACTTTACAATTCTGGAAAGCAGCATCCAAAACTTACAGCTGCCAGTGATCATATCAACACATTGCAATGGAAACAAATAAAAAAATAGATGAAAATACAAAAACAAAACAAACAAACAAATATAATAAAATTAAAACAAAACAAAAAACACAAATAAGAAAATCATATCAATATATCATCACATTTCTGTTTCCTGATTGTAAAGCACATGGCTCAGAGAGATGTTGAATCCATAAGTTAAATCATGCATGTTTTCCAAGGTTTCAGAGCAAATGAAAGTCCTCAAAAAATACATATWTTCTAATTTATGAAGCATTATCAATATTAACTGAATTCTGAGGTAAATCATAAAGCAACAATAGAACATGTATTCAAATTTTTAACGAAACTATAAAAAAATGTGTCTGTGGACAACCGTTCAGTGCAAGAAAATGGCTGAACACAAGAAATAATACATCATCAGTAAACTACAAATAAGAAAATTGTAGATTTGTCTGCTGTTTGTCTCATCTTCTTATGCTGCTGAAACAAAAGGACAAGAATKAGGTTAGAAACAAACAGAAGATGGCTATTACTACTAAAATCAAGATTACAGATCTTACCTGTTCTGGTAATGACACAAGCCTCCCTGCACTCCTCTTCAGTTTCATAACGGTTGTCATTTCCCTCACAGCCTCCYTACCAAAACTGAGCACAGGCGTTGGCTTGTTTGTCGTAGTACCAGCGAATGACGTAGTCTCGACATGTGCCTTGGTCTATGATGAGATCGCAGCGGGGATTTGGAGGACGGACCTCTGAGTAAAAACAAAAAACAAAAAGGTGCGTGAGTTTTCCAAAGTGTTATCGACTGAACAAGAATTACATGCTTCTTTTTCATTTATGCTTAGTAACATAAAATGAAGCATAGTAACAGCAAATGAGTGCACAYCATTTTCCTAAACACGCAAGCGTGCATCACGACTATAATGTGCCAAAGTCTTTCATAAAATGAAGTCTGTTGAGCAGAGATGGCATTCTCACCTTTAGGCAAGTCAGGCTTCACAACAGGCTGCAACCGATTAAAGTTTAAAGATGAATTGGAGCCCAGGGCTGACACAAGTGTTGTAGATGTAGATGGCAACGATGATGATGATGATTCAGACGATGTCTCATTGGAGACCGAGTTGTCTTTAACAGATGATGACAGCACTGATTTATTGACTGTAGACACACTGCTATCAGTCCGTACGTGTGCTCTTAWGTCTAAATCTTCACCATCTTCATCTTCCACCACCTAAAGTCAAATGACAGAGTGTTATGTGTTTAATGTGATAAATTTCAAGAAGTTTAGTGGAAAATATTGTAATCAGACAATACAAAGGTGTTTTCYGCAAAGACCTGAGTTGGAAGAGGATTGGCTCTGATCGGCAGCATGAACGTGTCGCCTCGGCTCCTGCTTTTGGTTTGTCTTTGATTTTCAGCCTCCTCTTGGTGATTGTTCCCATAGCCATTGTTTCCGAAATTATAACTCTTACTGTCATAGCCATTGTGCCCATTACCATTGATTCTATTAAAACCAAGCCCATTGTTACTGCTCCAGGGTCCATTTGGGATGTGATTGTAAATGAGAGCTCCGTTTTCATCTTCACAGAACTGGCTGACAAGTTTAGACTCCAGCGCTGAGAAACAAAATGAACATTTAACACTTATTTTGAGAACACACTTAAAAAACGTTACAGCATCTGCATTGGCGTATCACCTGGCAATGTATTGAAGTCATCGATAAGGTACATGTGTTCACTGTCCGGGTCAGAAGCAATCAGGTTGAGTTCTCGCAGAAACTCAGCCTGCGTAGGATCGGAGGAATTAACAATTCCCAGAGCGTACATCTCAATGTTGGCAGCATGAGCCTCCCGCACCGCCATGTCGAGCTTGACAGGTTCTCGTTTGTCTGCCTGACCATCAGTGATGACGATCGCTACCTTTCTAACTCCGGGCCGGGCGCTGAAGAAGGCCTCCTGAGTCGCCTTTCTTATAGCAGTCCCAGTGTAAGTGCCCTCACCCATGTAAAGCATTTTCCTGATCGCTTGTTTGACCTCCTCRTTGCTCATATAGCGAGCCAAGTTGAACTCTAAATTGACATCCAGACTGTACAGAACCATCCCAATTCTGGTGGTGTTGCGTCCGACGGTGGTTCTGTCTACCAACCTTGTGACAAAGTCTTTGATGATCTCAAAGTTCTCTGGACCGACGCTTTCTGAACTGTCAATAACAAAGACAAGCTCCATGGGTCTTTCTTTACACTTGATGCCACAACCTGAAAATGATAAAATACAATAAAGCCTTCACAACTATCCTTACTTAATGTGAGTCTATAACTGGGCTTATTTTAGCACATTGCATGTATATAAATAAAATTTACTCATAAGCACCACAAAAAACTAGGCTTACCACATATTTCTTTTATCAATTTGATAACATCTTCTTTCTGAAAAATATAAAAATCATAAATTTGCGGAATGTATGTGTTTTTTGTTCATTTTTTATCTAAAAAGAAGGGTAGTTTAGTAAACTTACAGTGAGGCCTGGTTCTCCTTTTGTCCCTGGTCTTCCCTGGAATTAAAGAAAAGTTGAAAATGGAATTACTGTGTTGGTATTAGTGTTAAAAAGCACAGACTCATGATGATATTAATAAGCTAACATTTTATTTTCAAGCTGCTGACTCAACTTACTGAATGTACTGAAGGGATTTTTGTGACCGATTGAATTTTAGATGCAGTCTTATTTCTTATACTTTGTGATCAGTTCATTTAAACAGGAAGAGATCCAGTTTTTGAACACTTTCTTACAGTTCTGTGTACACATCTTTGACAAAACATTTTTAGAAAGTAGTGTGATGTACAGTACATACAACAAATATGCAGCGTTTAAAGGGATGCTCGACTTTTAATTTCTAAAACTATATTTTACCATTTCTCCAGGAACTCCAGAATCTCCCATATCTCCTTTTGTTCCTTTCATTCCTCTTTCTCCCTGTAACCCACGGTCTCCCTGTCCCAGTGAAAAGACATTTCAGCAAATGAAACACTGATAAATCATTTGGAAAATGTGTGAATCTCATCACCTTGGCTCCAGGAAAGCCCTCTCCCTGAGGCCCTCTGGGTCCAGTCATACCTTGAGGGCCTGGCTCACCCTGTGAATAGATAATTCAATTTAACAGAAAATCTTTAATCCTTTGAATTACCCTAATTTATTCCTTAGCAGCCATAATCTCAGGTAGTTTTATAGTGGAACACCACCAATCAGTTAACATAACATTTGCTTCACTTGTGTTGCATTAAAGAAAGACAGTGATTTACCTTTGGACCTTGAATACCTTCTCCTGCAGGCCCAGCTGGACCAGAAGGTCCTGGTCTGCCAATATTACCCTATAAATATTATAAACATTAGAAGAAGAGTAAAGCTGATAAATGATGAAAGACTAAGACTGTCCACTTGTGTCCTTGTCCTAAATGTGTGGAAATGGTTCAACTAATGTATCTACTGTGGATAAAACAAAGCAAACATTTATTGTTGACCAAACTGCAGGCCAGCAGATCTTACTGGTGGTCCCTGTAAGCCCTCGCCAGGTGGACCGGGCAGACCTGGTAGTCCTCTAAAACCAATGTCTCCCTAGAACAGACAAGATATTGTCACAAAATTTGTTCAGCACACAAAAATCACACCTAAGCAAAAAAAAAAAAAAAAAAAAAAGGGGGGGGGGGGGGACGATCTGGTCACAAATCCTTGCAGGCACAAACCTTAGGACCAGGAATTCCCACTCCTTCTGGGCCGGGCTCACCTGGCAATCCTGGTAAGCCTTGAGGACCCTGGAAGTAAGCCTTCATAATTACAATCATTTAAGATGCACAGAATTGAATTATTGGATGTTTTAAATGATGATACAAACCTCAGGGCCTTGGATGCCTTCACCTTTTGGACCAAGTGGACCTGGTGAACCTGGATGACCACGATCACCCTGGTGAAACAAAATTCAGACATTACTACCAATGCTATGGTGCTGACTATGCAAATATTTTGCACGATTAATCTAAAATCATGAAAAAGTCATAAGTGAAAGTATTTACCTTGGGACCAGGTAGTCCAAGGCCTGTTTCTCCAATATGACCAGGYGGTCCAGCAGGACCCACTTCACCCTGAACACAGAAAAAAAAAAGAAAAGAGTCAAATTGATGACTTGTGTCTGCTTGTTTTCTTTTACGTAAAACAGTTTGACAGTTCTCCTGGCTACCTGCCAAGAAGAGTGTTAACAGAAACAGTTCAACAATGAAGTTTTTCTTTTACCTTTGGACCTGATATGGACCGTCCTGGCTGCCCTGGGATGCCCTGTGGGCCTGGAATTCCACGCTCACCCTGGAAAAATAAAAGTTGGCAGGAATCAGTGTGTGTTTCTGGAAATGCTTGCAATGCCAACAATAAATTAAAGAGTCATATTTTGGCTCTGTTCAAAGGACAAATTAATGTGACATAAACCTTAAGTAACAGATTTATGATGCGCAAAGTACTAGAGTTATCTGTTTTACTATGTCTCTGTATCACACCACAATGTTATTTTTTTCTTGTTTTAGTGGATTTCCTACTTTTGATCCAGAAGGTCCTGCGATCCCAGGAGGCCCATGTAGCCCACGGATGCCCCTCAGACCCTGGTCGCCCTGAAGAAGAAGACTTTATCTGAGTATATTGTTCAATAACATAAAGTATACTCTACACACTCACACACACACAACGTTATTCAGATCATGCCTTTTCTCCTTGAATGCCAATTCCTTGTGGCCCCTCAGGACCCCTTACACCTGGTAAACCTGGCTCCCCCTGTTAGAAGCAAACATTGAATTCAGTAAATACGCAAACTGGTCTTTTGTCCCCTTTAAACAAATAGACCAAAATGTTCAGGGTTTAGGCACTTTATAGGGTTGGAAGATTTCTACCAAATAGGCGTGACCTACTTTACCTTTTGTCCTGATACTCCATCTTCTCCTGGAAGACCAGGTAGACCACCAAGTCCTGTTGCTCCAGGTTCTCCCTGTGATGGCAGATAGTCATTTGATATACCCACAAATACTGTGAGCTATAATTAGAATACAAATGCTGTTAAGAAAAACATTTCTCTTACTTTTGGACCGGGTTCACCGATGCCTCGTTCTCCTGGAGCTCCCTGCTCTCCTGGTAAGCCTTGGTCTCCCTAAAAATATACGCAGCAGAAGAACAAAGGTTATTAAAACTATTTATTTATTTTTCTCAGAAACAACACTAGTTAAGTTACTTTTTGTACATGTTTAAGATACTATTTTTTCATGGTTGGTCTAACTTAACTTCAGTTTAATTCAGGAATCAAATTGCTAAATTTTTAACTTCCATAGTAGAGATTTTGGAACAACTGAAGCTTAAGTTAGATTAACTAATTATTTTGGCTTTGAATTAACTCTTATGACAGAGCACTCTGAAAACTCTCTTGGTATGTACAGAGTTTAGTTTTAATGATAATTCTGGTATATTTTACTCTGCACGTCTTTTATTGTGTAATAGTATAATAATACAATGTCTCCTTTATCTCCTTTATTTTTTAATAAAAATAAAAATATGTCAGCACAGTCTAAAATCACGATTAAACATGTCTAATCTGCTTCACAAAGTTGTTTGTTTCCAAGTGTTTCAGCAAACCTTAGGTCCAGGTAAACCTTCTCCTGGAAGTCCTCTGACTCCTGGTGGACCTCTTGGTCCTTCGACTCCCTGCAGAATTGAATCCAGTAAAATATTTATTAAATGTGGTTCTTGATAAATTCTGTAGCCTTGTTTGTTTCAGAGTGTTTTTAATAGACAGAGCAATCTAAGGAGCTGACCTTTTCTCCCTGGATGCCCACCCCTACTGGGCCAGTTGGCCCGGCATGACCTGGGGGTCCCAGTTCACCCTGGAAGTCAATAATCTTGGTCAGGTTAAATCATCTGTTTTGACCTTGCTCCCACTAATTTTAATTAGTACCTTTGTTTGACAGGTGATTTTCTTTGTCAAAGAAATTTACAACCCACCTTTTCCCCCTTGATGCCAACACCCTGCTGTCCCCTCGACCCTCTCGGTCCAGTAAATCCTCGATCCCCCTGTGAAACAAAACCAGGTTACCCTGTCGATTAAAATAAACCACAGTTGCCTGAATTTGGCTCAGAGCATTATTCACAGAATAGCAAAGAAAAAGCATGTTGGCTCCTGTTGCAAATTATAACACAAACATCAAATATGACTGTTCTTTTTCTTGACCTCAGTATTTGGTGTCTGTGATATAAAAGTACTGAGAGCTAAAGATGAGAGTTTTTGATCACATCTGACAGCTAGGGTCAAGTTTAATTTAACAGATGCAGAATTCAACAGAAGAGAAAATGTAATGTCTCATAAGTCAAATATGTAAAGTGAGTAAAATTGCTCACAAGTTTAATTTTGAACTGCAGTGGTAAACATTACAACTGTAGTTGTTCATAACTGCTGTTCAGTGTTTTAAGTTCACTTTTTAAACTGTTTTCTTAGCTGCTAAAGCGTAAACCCAGCTGTCATTGCATGCATTTGTGGAATCCCAGCTTTGTATTTGAAAGGGTAATCCCTTCTGTTTCTTGGTGCAGCATGTTGCAGCTTGAGAGAAACAGCATTTTTACAGTCATCTTCAACATTGGAATCAAATGAGCTGGAACAAAGAACTGTCAGGAAGGTGAAAAATGGGTCCGTTAAGGTTCAGTCAAACTACTAAAATGTACACTCTTAATGTGTGTTAGCAGCGGCAGTTGCACAATGCAAGCATGGCAAATATCTTCTTACAAGATTTGTGTTGATAGGTTGTTGATGTCATTTTAGATCAACGCATTTAGAGCCCAAAACTCCAACATGAATTAATTAATATTCAGTTAATTTAAATAACTCCTGTTTTTACATCTGACTCAAAATGATGTAGAGTTCATGAGTCTTGGTAATGAATATCGTCTCATTAGGATTTGATTAGTTCTACACTAAATCTTTTAATTGAGTTTTTGTTTTTACTTATTTTCTTTGATCTTTGATAATTTGACTGAGACTAATTTGTATGTAAATTTTCTGCAGATTTACACATACAATAAAACAAATATATACTATAAATAATTGTTTTAGGATCTTGGATCTTGTTTTAGGATATTGGCCTTAGGATCACATCACTGCTTTTTGCGGATGATGTGGTCCTGTTGGCTTCATCGGAACGAGATCTGCAGCTCTCGCTGGAGCGGTTCGCGGCCGAGTGCGAAGCGGCCGGGATGAGGCTCAGTGCCTCCAAATCCGAGGCCATGGTCTTGAGCCGGAAAAGGGCAGAGTGCCTTCTCCGGGTCAGGGGGGTCGCCCTGTCTCAAGTGGAGGAGTTTAAGTATCTGGGGATCTTGTTCACGAATGGGGGAAGAACGGAGCGGGAGATAGACAGGCGGATTGGCGCAGCGTCTGCTGTAAAGAGGGCGCTGTACCGGTCCGTCGTGGTGAAGAGAGAGCTGAGTCAGAAAGCGAAGCTCTCGATTTACCGGTCGATCTACGTTCCTACCCTCATCTATGGTCATGAGCTTTGGGTCATGACCGAAAGAACGAGGTCCCGGATACAAGCGGCCGAAATGYGTTTCCTCCGCAGGGTGGCTGGACTCTCCCTTAGAGATAGGGTGAGAAGCTCGGTCATCCGGGAGGGACTCAGAGTAGAGCCGCTGCTCCTCCACGTCGAGAGGAGCCAGTTGAGGTGGCTTGGGCATCTGGTAAGGATGCCTCCTGGACGCCTCCCTGGTGAGGTATTCCGGGCACGTCCCACTGGGAGGAGGCCCCAAGGAAGACCCAGGACACGCTGGAGAGACTATGTCTCTCGGCTGGCCTGGGAACGCCTTGGYGTTCCCCCGGAGGAGCTGGAAGAAGTGGCTGGGGAAAGGGAGGTCTGGGCCTCCCTTCTGAAGCTGCTGCCCCCGCGACCCGACCCCYGATAGGCGGAAGAAAATGGATGGATGGATGGAAATAATTGTTTTATGATTATAGTGTCTCATCTTTGATGACATCATTTATTTATATTTTCAGTTTGAGAATGGTCAAGCCAAGATTTTCTTGTTCTCATCCTACTTGCCTTCCGGATCTTTTTCTAAATTTAGATTTTTCTTCACTTTAAACAATTAGCATGACATAAATGACAGTTTTCTTTGTTAATATAGACTTGAAATAACCTTTGGTCCAGGAAGCCCTTCTCCTTGGGGTCCTTTCTCCCCTTGAACTCCTTGTTGCCCTTGGGGTCCCTGTAAACATGGCAAAAGGTGCAAGTCACTCCAACAGTGACAGATCTAATATTAAATATTATTTTTCTTCTTTTGTTGTGATTTGTAACTTACAGGAGGGCCTGGTTCCCCCACTCCTGGAGGACCGGGAGGACCTAGTCGGCCCTGGAATCCCATGTCACCCTGAACAAAGATTTACCAGCTGAGTGTAAGAACCTTGAAGAGTTTTATTCATCACAAATAAATGAGAAGAACAATAAAGTGAAGGTKAGTTTGCAGGATGACTTACTTTTGGTCCAGGGAGTCCAATACCTGCTTCTCCTTGAATCCCTGGAGGGCCAAGTGGCCCCCGTTCACCCTGTGATCACAAAAACATTAACACACAAACAAACTGAAAAAATACTATTTTACAAGTTCACACTGTTATACTGGGGTCATCTATACCAGGTGAATTTTAAAAATGTCATTAACAAAACCACATATGTATAACTATTTTACTGTATATTGCACTTGTTGTTGAACCTCTTTATCCCTTCTGATTAAAATACAATTTCATTTCTTWAAAAGACAACTTGCTTGCCAAAAATAATAACATCTTTAAGACAGTAAATAAAATTTGTACATAGACTCAAGATCAAAGACTTTAAGTACTTAACTGTGCATTTGTACACATTTTTATTAGTATGGACATTTAAGTTGTATAAAATTCCAAAAACCTTACTTMGAAATGGTTAACCTATTTTTTTACACAGAAATACCGAAGGTCTTTTACAAAAGAACTGATCCTTCTTCAATCACAGTAATTTCAGCATTATTTCTGCAGGATGCTTCAAAACGTCCACAGATACTGTGGCAGGTAGACTTTGACCTTCTCTGCATAACATTTATGGTTAGAATAAAAGCAAAATATTACAGTTAGTGTTTGGTGCAGAAAATGGGTGTTTCTTGTGAAATTTAGACTTTTTGTGGCATTGTAGAATTGTTCAAAGCATAAAAATTAAATTAAAATAGCAAAAAAATTGGTATTTGGACAAACAAACAACATCAATAGTTGCTGCTTAAATTGAACCTCAAGTAAAATAAGTTAGTTCTATCCTTGTATTCACATTATACCTTTTAAATCAAATATTTAGTGCATTTTGTCACTATTCTAAAAAAACACCAACAAATATTACCTGATTTTTTTGACAAATAAAAATAATCGAAACATATGCTGAAATAGCACGTGCACAAGCGAAATACTCTTTTGATGCTTAACAATAGGAACTTCATTAAGTTTTAAATAATGCTATGATTTTGCTTTGAAATTTAGATAGCTACCAAAAGATAAAGTAAAAACTATTATTTACATTTTTTAACAAAACAACTTAATTGCTTGTACACATAAATTACATGCGTATTGTTAATATAATATATGATGGATACTTAAACATACAATAGCTTATTCTAGGGGAATTCCCTGGCATGAATTATGCTACCTGCAGACCACCAAGACTCCTGTTAACTTGAGTAAATACAGCCTACAGGTCCTTACAGACTGTCTATGAATGTTATTAACTGTCAACTGTGTTTGCGAGGCAGACAAAGCTGCAGGCTCTTTTCAGTCAGTATTTAGTGACAGGATACACAGGAGAACCTGTCATAAAAGGTTTTTTGTATAAAAAAACAGTAACAACATGGGATATTGGCGGTTTGCCAAACGTTCACACAGGGATCTTCCTGCACAAAAATGTTGCTGTAGGGTTAAAAATGAAGGTGGTAAAAGCTGCTGCCTTTGTGCAAACTTATCTCAGAAGGAAATGTGAGGGTCACAGCAGAAAGTGAATGATGGGGTATAAAAGGTGCTGACCTGCTTCCCCTGAGGGCCCTCCGGTCCGATGTCTCCTTGTGGTCCTGGTAACCCCTGAGTAGAAACATCATACAATCATTGTTTGAGAAGATGTGAACGTTAGTGTTAAAATGCCTCCTTAGATAAAGTTTACATTTTTTTAAAAGATAAATATTGATTAGACAGGTAAAGCAAGTGAGTAGAACATATGTAAATTCAACCAGATTGTCCTTTTTTAAATTTTAGCTCAAAAAAATGTTGAAAATACAACAAATACAAGAGCTTTTACCAACCTGCAGACCTCTTGGTCCGATCACTCCACTTGAACCCTGTGGGCCCTGAAGCCAATCACACAAGATATAAACAGGCATGAAAAACACCGCAAACAATTATCAACATGAAATATTCACCAGTTTTAGTGTCACTAAAGATGTCGTACCCTGTCTCCTTTGATTCCCGGAGTGCCACACTCACCCCTCTCACCCTGTAAGAAAATGTTCATCACAAACAAAAAACTTTGCCAAGAAAAGAAAGTGTCTTCATTTGTCACTAATAATCGGTACCTTCTCTCCTTTGTAACCTGGTTTCCCCTACAAATGAAAGACATTTTAAGTATAAACAGAAACAGTAATAAATATCTCATAATTTGGTAATTAATTGTAATGTTTACCTCAGTGCCGTCTCGCCCAGGTATTCCACTTAATCCTGCTTCACCCTATAAATAAATAAAAAATATATATACAATGAAACTTTACATCAGTTAATACAAAATTATTTACTGTTTAGTGAGTTTGAAATGTGCAAATGGGTTTAAAAACAGAAGAATATATATTGAAACATGTGAATGACTAGAAAAAATATTTAGTAAAGATAAATAAAAATAAAATAATCCTAAAGATAACGGATGGAAATATACCGGTAATCATGTTTTCTGAAAGCAAAACACATTAGCTGGATTTTATATAGGATTCAYTGACAAGCAATACCCAGCCTCTTGCTGCTGGAGACAGGCGCCAGCTTCCCGTGACCCAGAAAGGACAGGAGGGTAAAGAAGATCTATGCAACAGTACCTAATTGCTAAATATCTCACAACAAATTCTCCATAAAACAAGGATAGAGTGAAATAAATGTACTTTAAAAKAGCATTTTCCCCTTACTACCAGCAGAGGGAGACATCTGTAGTTGCAAACAGAGATCAAACTACAAGCGTTTGAGATAAACTTTCGCTTGATTTATTATCCCATTAAACATTTTCCAACTGTGTTTATGTTCTTAGCTGCACATATTGTCACTCTGAGAAGGGCAAGACATACTAATGTTATGCATCCTTGTAGCTGACAAGTTGTCATTGTATGCATATTCACATTTTTAGAATGCAAAATGTGTTTACAACAAACCACATTTGTCTTGAAGCTTTGTTCAAAAAAGTGGATATTTTCTGCTGCTAATGTCAATTTTTACATAAATGTAAAAAAAACATCATTACATCAGCCTACATTACTGTTTTTATTTAAAAATTCAAAAAATTAAACAGAACGTAAATGTAAACTTTGTGTTTTATGTTAGGGATTTGTGAGAGTGCAAAGAAGGAAAGAGATAATTTAATTTAAAGCACAAGCTTTAAAATGGCTACTACAGTTTATAATAACATTTACAGCCTGAAGTGAGACTTTTTGGATTTTTAACTTCCTTCCTTTATTGAATCCATCCATCTATCCATCCATCCATCCATCCATCCATCCATCCATCCATCCATCCATCCATCCATCCATCCATCCATCCATCCATCCATAAACCAGCTTAAAGAAATGTTTAAAAAGGAGCTTACTGGTAAATAGGTTATGTAGGATGGGTGTCTCAATATTATTTATATTAAAATGCATAAATAATTGTACATGTAAGGATGAGAATGTAAGATTTAAATGTCATTCAGTGTGGGAATAATTTGTGTTTATCTGGTGTGAGAACATTTAAATGTTTGTTATGAGTATGAGAAGGGCAGGAAAGCAAAAGATCTTGTATCTTTTACCTGCTCCGTTTTGAACATATAATGTAAAAAGGACCTGCCTAGAACGGATTATTAATTCAAGAAAAATTTGATGGTTTCTTTTAATTTTACTTTTTTTATTTTGTTT